GAAAGAAAAAATACCTCTCCCAGAGAAAACTTAAAAAATAAAAGCTTTAGTGTAAATACATGCAGACCATCTGGAGAAAATAATTTTAAGCACGAGTTGATGTATGCTCAGATTTATTTGAATAAAAATATCCCAGTGAATGGCATAATTGATTCTGGGGCTCAATTATCGGTGATTAATTCAAATAAAATAAAAATAAACGATTCTCTCCAATCTAGCATAATACTAACCTCGTGTTTTGGGGACAGACGAGAAGCGAAACTTAGAGAGATTGAAATGTCTTTAAATCCTAATGAGTCAGGGTTGAAGGTCAGCGCCGCTGTTTCGGACGATCTTGAAGTAGAAGCTTTCCTAAACCCAACGATTTACGACCAATTAATAAAACTAGATCAGCTTTCTTCAAATGTAAATACGCAAACCGAAACTTCTAAGAGTGAGGATTTTTATGACTGTTCTTGTTTCAATATTACGAGGGTTGCTATTTGATATTTATATTTCTGGCCTTGGCAACAGTTAGTGTTGCTAGGCGACTGCAGGCGATTTTAATCGATAGTTTGATATTTTAAACATAAATTCACAGACGATTTACCATTATAGCTTCATTTGTGTTGTTAACAGTAAATTGAAAAGTTCTTCTCTTTCAAAAAATGGAATTGAATCGTGAACATTTTCGTGCCATTATTTTTCATAACTTTCGACGTGAATTGTCAAGACAAGAGTGCTTCGATGAACTTAATTCTTTATTCAGCGATAAAGCGCCATCCTACAGCACTGTAAAAAATTGGTATAACGAATTTAATCGTGGTCGATGTTCGATCCAGGACGAATCCCGTGCAGGTCGTCCAAAATCCGTTGTTGTGCCAGAAAAGATCGATGCTGTGCGTGAACTGATAAAGCAAGATCGTCATGTGACATACCGTGAGATAGAGGCGTCTTTGGACATTAGTATGACTAGCATCAATAAAATATTGCATGAACATTTGAGCGTAAAAAAAATTTGTTCGCGTTGGATCCCGCATAATCTGACAAACGCTCAAAAAAAGGCTCGTGTCGATTGGTGCAAGGAAATGTTGGAAAAATACGTTCAAGGTACATCAAAGGCTGTGTATAACATCTACACAGGTGACGAATCATGGATCTATGCATATGAGCCGGAAACAAAACAGCAATCAACTGTATGGGTCTTCCAAGACGAGGCAAAACCAACAAAAGTTGTTCGAGGAAGAAGCACATCGAAACAAATGATTGCCTGTTTCTTCGGCATTAACGGTCATGTGGCAACAGTGGCGTTAGAGCAACGCAGGACGGTCAATTCTGAATGGTACACGACCATTTGTTTGCCAGAAGTCATCGGAGAAATTCGAAAAAAGCAGAAGAACAGGCGAATCATTCTTCATCATGACAATGCGAGCTCTCACACATCGACTCAAACAAAGGCATTTCTGACGGAGCGAAAGATCGAACTGATGGGTCATCCGCCGTACAGCCCTGATTTGGCACCCAATGACTTCTTCTTATTCCCACACATCAAAAATAAATTACGTGGACAACGATTTTCGACCCCCGAAGAAGCGGTTGATGCATTCAAAACGCATGTTTTGGAGTTACCTCAATCGGACTGGAAAAAGTGCTTTGAAAATTGGTTCAAACGCATGCAAAAGTGTATTGATCATCATGGAGAATATTTTGAAAAACAATAAAACCAATTTCGATCCTACATATTTGTTTTTTCATTATTAGGCCAGAAATATAAATAGCAACCCTCGTAATGACTCTTGCTCTTGTGAATGTTTTTGTTTATTTAATATCAACAAGGTGTATAGTAATGATGAACTTGATTTATCACATGTTAATTACTCTTGTATTAGAAATGAAATGTCAGTGTTGATTAATAATTACAAACCAAACAAAATTAAAGACATTAAGTTAACAATGAAAATTATTTTAAAAGATGAAATTCCAGTATGTCAAAGGGCTAGACGTTTATCTTTTTCTGAGAAACAAAAAGTAAATACTCAGATATCAGAATGGTTGGAAATAGACATAATTAGTAGAGAGAGTTGCTCTGATTATTGCTTCCCAATAGTTCTTTGCAAAAAGAAAGATAATAGCCTAAGATCGTGCATAGATTACCGGAAATTAAATTCAAAAACAATTAAAGATAGATACCCCTTACCTCTAATTGAAGATGTGTTAGACCAATTACAAAGTTCTAAAATATGTAGCAAAATTGATCTTTGAAATAATGGATGTTTCTATATAGACGTAGACGAGGACAGTGAAAAGTATACCTCATTTGTGACACCTGATGGGCAGTATGAGTTTTATAAAGTGCCATTTGGGTTGTGTAATAGCCTACATTCCAAAGGTACATCAATTATGTGTTCCGTGATCTTCTTAGAGAAGGTGTTGTTGTCATCTTCATGGATGATATTTTTATAGCCGCAGAAAGTGAAATAGACGCACTGAACGGGTTAACGAGAGTATTACAAACTGTGTCCGAATATGGATTGGAACTTAATTTAAGGAAATGCCAGTTTTTGATGTCTAAAATTAACTTTTTGGGTTAAATTATTGAAAACGGTACCCTTAAACCGTCTTCCGAAAAAACATTNATTACAAACTGCGTCCGAATATGGATTGGAACTTAATTTAAGAAAATGCCAGTTTTTGATGTCTAAAATTAACTTTTTGGGTTAAATTATTGAAAACGGTACCCTTAAAAAGTCTTCCGAAAAAATATTAGCTGTTCAAAATTTTCCTGTACCTAAATCTACTAAACAGGTGCAGAGTTTTCTTGGTTTAACCGGATATTTTAAGAAGTTTATTCTTAATTATGCTTTAATTGCTAAACCATTAAGTGATTTACTTCGGGATAACAGTGTATTTTATTTTGGCCCAGACCAACAAACAGCATTTCAAACTTTAAAACAAAAACTTTCTGAAAATCCAGTGCTACACATTTTTAAACAAAGAGCAAAACTTGAGTTACATACCGATGCAAGTAAATTCGGGTATGGTGCTATTCTTTTTTAGTAATCTGATGATAACAAATTACACCCAATACACTATATGAGTAAAAAAACGACTCCTCAAGAGGAGAATTATTCAAGTTATGAACTTGAAGTATTGGCTATAATTGAGGCTTTGAAAAAATTTCTAAATTAGTTAGTGGGAAATAAATTGAAGCTAGTAACAGACTGTTCAGCTTTTCAAAAGACTATGAGTAAAAAGCAATTAACTCCTAAAATTGTTAGGTGGGCATTATTTTTGCAAGATTTTGACTATGAAATTGTACGTAGCCCAGGTAAACAAATGAAACATGTTGATTGTTTAAGTAGATATCCTAGTATGATGCATATTACTTGTGACGAACTAACCTCTAAAATTGTTACTAACCAGAAAAATGATGAATACATTAACTCTATTAAACAACTTTGGGAAAATAAATCAATTGACGATTTTGTGGTAAAAAATAATGTTTTATATAAACTTGAGAATGATACTTACTTGTTAGTGGTTCCACAACAAATGCAAACTGACATGAAACAAATCTACACATGCTAAAGGTCATTTTAGTTATTAAAACTCTTGATGTACTTAAACAAAACTATTATTTTCCAGATATGAAGAAATGTGTTGAAAATGTTGTAAGTAATTGTGTTGAGTGCATATTAGTGAATAGGAAGGCAGGAAAAAGAGAAGGGGTTTTGATCCCGATTCCTAAAAATAATATTTCCTCAGATATTTACCATATTGATTTCACTAGTCCCATGCCTTCAATTAATAAAAACTATAAACATATTTTCACCGTGGTAGACGCTTTTACCAAGTTTGTTTGGTTCTACCCAACCAAATCTACGACAAGCCTAGAGGTAATAGATAAGTTATAAGCTCAACAGATAACTTCTGGGAATCCTTCACGAATAATTACTGACAGAGGTACTGCGTTTACTTCAGATTTTGAGACTTATTGCCAAGATGAAGGTATCGAACATGTTAAAATAACAACAGGTACTCCTCGCGGTAATGGGCAAGTGGAAATAATGCATAAGATCCTCATACCGATACTGGCAAAACTATTGATAAAAGATCCAACTAAGTGGTACAAATTTGTTCCAACAGTACAGCGTACCATAAATTCTACAGTTTCTAGGAGCACTCAGATGACACCATTCCAGCTTTTAATCGGAGTGAAAATGAAAACAAAAGAGGACTTATAAATTCTGCAAATGCTGGAGAAAGAACGTATAGAATCATTTACTCAGTTTGGATCTGGTCTCAAATTAAGGCCCAAGTTCGTCGGTCCATACCAAATCACAAAAGTGAAGAAGAATGATAGATACGGTGTGCTAAAAGTCGGGAATCATGATGGACCAATAAATACTTCATCTATAGCTCACCACACGAAACCGTGGTCAGTAAATTAAAAAATTGTTGCTTATTTTTTATATTTTGCTTTCTCGTTCTTTTTCTTTTTCTTCAGCTAACTGTGTCTGAAGCTGTTCTGATAAAAATGAGGACATTTTGTTGTCAGGATCGCCGAATTATGTTGACTTTCAGCAACTTGGTGTAATATCTCAGAAGATTACATCATCATTCTTTATCATGTAATACTGAGAAGAAATCATGAGATACTACTTCCTAGAAGAGAGGCGCCAACGAGTCCCGAAGGGGAGGTCCCGATGGGAAACTTCCGAGTTTATAATTAAGTCTTGACTTAATACCATAGAACAATCTATTTCTTATTCACATGCATTTGGTCGATACTGCGCGAAGGAAGCTCTCACCAGTCATGTCAATAATGTTAAACTTATCCTTTTATTTCTATTAAATTGTTATGTTTGTTAAATTATCGTCGTTATTTCATCCAATGCTGCACTAACTACCATATATATATATATATTGAATTTGAAAGTATTAAGTATAGAAATAAAAGCGTACATTTTGTTTGTAACAGCATTAAATATAAAATAAAATCTTACACGGTTTAATTAATCCATTTCTCTATTTTTTCTATGTTCTAATAAATATAGAACGTATTTTGGCAAAATCTAAATTTTATCAGTTTTGTTACAATTTTCAAGAAATGTTTTGGAGTGCAATATATAATTCTCAAAAAGTTTCTGAGAGAGGCAATACCTTACAAAACGATACGATGCATAAAAAATTCGTGTTTCACAAAACAATCAAAAATTCAATCGCCGAAGATTCACTCTGAAGGGTAGTAGAACTTTTTAAATTTTTCACCCAAATGTTCAAGAGTTTCTTTATCTGTGAATATTCCTTTTGGGAGATAACCAAGTAGATCACTGGCATGTTCTTTCAGGAATCGAATCCTCTCTTCCTCAACCATTCTGACGCGTTCTGCTTCTACTTTCATCTGATAGTCCTGATCCGCCATTTCTCTAGACTTTTCAGCTGCTTTTTTAAGTCGGTTTTCATTTAACAGTGACTGTAAAACAAATCTAATTATAGTTATCTTTAAGAAAAAGTTTGTGGAATATATATATATATATATATATATATATATATATACANATACACCGAAGAGCCATTACATTATGACCACCCTCCATCTATAACAGTGGGCTCGCCCAGGTTTTAATGGTTTCTCACCCAGGAACAATGTTTTCATGGGCACATTGGGATCCATAATCCTTATAGAACAATCCCTGACGTCTGTAAGCTACTTGAACATAGTTGCACCCATTCATGGCAACAGTTTTTCCTGCGGGGGATGGCGTTTACCAACAGGATACTGTGCCATGTCATAAGCGTCGAATCCTCGAGGAACATTCCAGTAATTTTCAAGTCATGTCTTGGCCCCCAAATTCACCTGACCTTAATCCAATAGAGCATTTTTAATCCTACTTGGAAAACCAAATTCGTGCTGCCACGCTACACCCTCGCGATGTGAGGTAATTGCAGGACCAGTTGATGAGCGCTTGGTACCAGATACCTCAGACTACCTATCAGCACCTTGTGGAATCAATGCCACACCGGGTGCTAGCTGTTTTGAGGGTTAAAATAGGTCCTACATATTATTAGCAGGGTGATCATAATGTAATGGCTCTTTGGTATATATATATATATATATATTCCCCTTCCCCTTTTTCATATGTCTAAAATTTTTCTTTGTTTTGTCTTCATTTTGAACTTATATATATATAACGTCGATGCCGAGTGGAAGGATTAAGACAGGTCTTAGACAGGGAAGGAGGGTACAAAATGCATTTATTAATTATTAAGCAAAGCAGTCATGAAAGTGAGTACGAAAAGTTGTGCTTCCTGATTATATGTAAGGGAAAATCTTGCAAAGTAAATCCGTAAAATGTTTCAATTTAGGGAAAAGAGGGAAATCTTAGTAATTGTAATTGGTTTATCAAATAGGTCTCGCGATTCCCCCAGAGAGTAAAGGGGAAAAATATCCTGCTTTTAATTGATGCATAGTTGATCCAAAAATAGATTTAAGGACAGGATGTGAATTTAAAAGTGTGAGAAAGTATTTCGATTAAATTAATAAAATAAAATAAAAGGATATTCAGAAAAGAACCAACATAAAAAGGTTAATTAAAGCTTTTTATGTTACATCCACCCTCGCCAAAAATGTTTAATTACAATCCAAAAATTTTAGAAATTATCCATTTGCAAAATCTTCCCTGTGGTAGAAGTACAATTAAAATGAAAAAAATCAAATTTGTAATGTTAACAATACATAAAAGTAATATGAATTATAAAAAAATTACATTTGAACTCAAGGTAAAAATTTTAACACAATTAGAAATCTGTTGTAGCATCATCAGTAAATTTAAGATTTTCATTTTCAANTTTTTTTTTTTTTTTTTTTTTTTTTTTTTTTTTTTTTTTTTTTTGGACTTAACAGTTTTTTCAGTTCCAAGTCTTTTCATAACAGTTTTTTCACCATAAGAAGTATTCTTCATAATAACTCAATTTAAGTTAACTTTTCAATCATGATAAAAAATTATAAACATTTTTGAAAAAGTGTAAGTTAAAATGTAAGTAACACATAATACAAAAAACAGTTTTACAGGAAAAATTTCAATCTGGAATTAGTCTTGAGTATTGTTTACCTTGTTTGAAAACAAATAAAAATAAAAATGAGATAGTGGTTGTTACTCTGAAATCCAAGACTTCAGTATTGACTTCATTTCACTTTATTTATTATTTACCTTACATATTTGCCACTTTAATAGCAAAATATTTGAAAATTTCCTGAAGTTAGGAATTTATTTATTATCTAGGATTTGTACAATTCTGTCAACATAATTTTGACAATGTTACGCATCATTGTCACATTTAGTCTCAAGAATATTTGAAAATTCAAGACTATTTTCAGTTTTGCTATTTAAATTTTTATTTTTATGTCTATTTTTCGTTTTATTTTTCTTTAAATTCACTTTATTTACATTCTTGTTATTCTCATTTATCTCTTTTATGTTCAAATTTTTCTTTTATTTTTTTAATAAATAATTTCTTTTAATTAACAAAGCTTTCAAATTTAATATGGTATTAAGGTAAATCAGTTTTTAAAATTTGACTGACCTAGCTATTTTCCTTATTTTTAATCTGAAGTGCAAGTTTGGTTAATTTGCAAATTACCTTTTGTTGGTTTACATTTATATCTCTCTTTCTTTTGGGACATAATTTTTTTTTCTTCAAAAATCTCAGTTCGGATATTTTTCAAAGTAATTTTTGTGCAGAGGTTTGGGTTTATTTTTAAAGTACTACTTGTGTTAGTATTTAACAAGACAGTTTTCTTAGTCACCATCGGGTAGTTGTCACTTTTATATTTTTATTTTTAATGTACTTTGAGTGTATCCGGATACTATACATTGTAAGTTTGTGTTTGGTCACTCTATCTCTATGTTGGAATTGACTCTCAGCCATAAGAAATTTTGTTTGCTTATGAAATGTCTGAGCTAGAACTGGGCTATGAACTAATTAACAACGTTGGACTCAAGCATTGATGTTTGGTTGCTCTTCACTTCAAATTCTAACAACAAGTATTTGATTCATTTTCCAAATTATTTGTATTAGTTTTAACATTTCTTGATTTAATTTAAAATTTCTGCCACACCACAATTGCATTCAGGTATTAAAATTGAATTTCAATAATTATTATAGTTGTATTAAGAAGTGAAAAATATTTTAATGGCATTTTCATATTAACCCTACACACTACAGTAAAATAAAAATATAAATTCAACTAATCAATAAATCATAGAAACTGTAACACATAAAATAATAAATATGAAAATAATTTCTTGAAAATTTTTTTATGCCAATCAAAACAATCAATTCACTGAAAAAAAAATTTCCCAAGAAAAAAAATTTCGACAGTAAATACGATCAATGTATAAAAAATAATTGTTTCAATTGAAGCATCATCAATTCACTGAAAATCAATTGAAACATCAATTGATCACATCAATTGAAACATCATTGTTTCAATTGAAACAAACACTTTAAGTTTGTTCGCGAAGCGAACGAAAATGTAATTGCGCAGCAATTATCGGGGGTTGACGAGCGGCAGTGAGCAGGGGGCGGAGCCCTCTAGTGTATATATATATACATATATTGTACTGTCTTCTTTTTCTCAATAGCTTATGTATACTTTTTCGGACTCATGGATTATAACTNATTGCCTTGAGCTGGAAGAAAAATTGGATGTAAATATAAGGATAGAAATAAAAATTAAAAAAAAAGATCTGAGTGATACAACAATGGAGAATGAAAGCAATCTAAGGTTTTGTTTAATACTAAATAAATTAAATTTTTTATCGTCTTTAGTTTATTAAAAACTGTAATTGCATTGAAATCTGAAAAAATTACGTTTTGCTCTCTTTTTTTATTGATCATGATTCTTTAAAAATAAAAATTGAGGAGAAAGTCCCTAAATATGGCAAGATTGTGGCGACTTATTTTCTGTTTTTCTTTCCTCTGAACGCACAATAGATATACTCTACATAAAAAGAATTATCAAAATTTTTAATAGTTTAAACCTTGGTTTAAACATAACAAAAATCATAAATTTAACAAAAAGTTGCGAATTAGGCATAATTTTCCCACCTAGATGAAAACTATAAAAATCAACTAACAATTCCCGATTTCCGAATATTTTTAAGAGTCCATACAATACAATTTGGAGGAACGTTTTAAATATTAAAAATTTTTATCACAGACTTTTTAATCTAAGAAAAAAAAACTGTTGCTTTCCCTGATGTATATATTTTTTTGCAACTTTAGAAAGAGTTTTCTTATATAATGCAGAACAGATTTCCCTGTTAAGTATCAAGTTTAAATATTTATTTTGCTTTGACTTGGCGTTCCACTAGAGCTACAGTATGAAGATTCGAATGACAGATACAGAATGAAGATTCGAAGACAATACTGGATAATATTCTACATAATGCCAGAGGGAAAATAGTAGAAGTAACCACCAGGTCTCCACACAACGCTTGGGACTTTCCCCCCTTCGAAATCACCGGTATATTTTCAGAATTGCAATCAAACACACATCATCACGGGAAATCGAATCCTAGAAGAATACCGACTGCTATGAGAACAGTGGATGTAGCCAATGAACTTTGTCATCTACCACTTTTTTTAATTCTTCTTAAATTATAATTAGGTAGAAGTCATTAATTAACATTTTTAAAAAACTGAATTTCACGCTGAGTTTAATTTAAGATTATTTGAATTGTTTTTGTTCAAATGATGTAATCCAGAAAATCTATTTGTGATTTCATAGGAAAGCAGAGCGCCCTTGCGACAAAATGACATGAAAGATATTCAGTATAAGCTTTTGATAAAAGTATAAAGCATATTTAACGCAGAAATTCAACCTCCATCAAAGGGGATATAAACATAAGGAATTAACAACCAAAAAGTTTAAAAAATAAAAAATAGTTTGCTTGAAAGCTGAGGAAACATCAAATATTAAATGAAGGGATCTAAACATAGTAGATTATTTTCTTATGCTACTTGAAAATCAAAAATTAATATTAGAGTGATACTTTATTTATATCATATTTTTAATTATAATTACCTCGACCTGATGTTTGTGTTCCAATTGCTTTTGTCTTCTCTTCTGAGCACCCATCTGTTCTAACTTATCTTCCTCATGCAGTTGCCTCATCATGCGTTGTCGGAATAACTCGTCCTCCTTTTTTTGCAAATCTACAAGTTATCAAAAATAATTTGAAACATTTAATATTAATAACAAAATTTAAATGAACTAAGGGGCTAAGGTCCCTTTTCGCTGACGCTCACCAACCCCTATGATTGCTTCGCAATAATTGCTGTTTCTTGGCATAATAAGACAGTTGAATTTATTCAACTGAAAAGAACACTTTTGCCTCCACGTCGAAATATTTCCCTTATGATATTATTAGGATTTATAAGTGGACGTAAATCATTTTGTGAAACAACATTTAAAATTAATAGTATATTATTATAACAAATTTGGTGAGTTCGCAACCGTCATTTAATATTTTGTCTTACAAAATGGACGTATGTATTTTAAATACAATGTTTGCGTTAATCAATTGGTGCAAGAATCTGAAATTTAAGTTCTAAATCATGCAATGAGTATCTTTAACCGTAATTCATAATAGTATATTAATGAAATATGTAACAAAAATAATGATTTTAAAAAGGTTAATAAGATCAGACACCGATTTAAATAACTTTACATTAAAATTTAACGTAGAATTACGTTATTCTAATAATAATAATGAAAATAAAAACAATCCTCCTAAACTCTTAATTTAGAAAACAAACAAAATCAAAAGCGTAATATTAACAGTAGAGGTAAATACCTTTAAATTAGGGATGCAAAGGTATTTATAGGAAAACAATAACTTTATGACTTATATCAATTTTATGGTGATGGCGATTAATGTGGTAAAACTGGATCTTACCATACCATGTGATTTTTCGGTCAATAAAAATGCACCGACAACAATGGAAAACTGTGATACCATCATTAGATTTTTACATATAGTTAGATACCAAAATACTTTATTGCGTTAATAAATACTGTAGTCTGTAATTAATCCAGTAGTTATTGAAAGAAATTGTATTTTGTAATGCCCTAGCTATTTTTTATTTATTTATTTTGTTGACAAAAGTTTGGTATATTATTATAAATGAAAATAACTCTTCTCTTTTTTGAGGGAAGAAAATTGAATTTCTTCTATACATTCAAGTGAGGCATCAATGTAATTTTTTACGTTGAAACGAATGGGACCAACCTGGAGACGATCAGACTAATAGTTTAGAAGTTATAAGGGTTTTATGTGCAAAAAGTACAAATTGTATTTATTTGCGCATTTGACATAGTTATCTAAACATGTGAGGCACGCAATCTGAGAAATCTGGGGAAAGGCAATGTAATCTGTGGGATAGCTGAAATCTGGGAAATGGGATTCTAATAGTTTGGTCTAGAGTGTTGTCAAAAGTTAGGATCCCTTAATATTAAATTCAATATTGGCGTATTTCATAGTTGGAGAAATTTTTTGTACACAATTATAAAATTTATTTAACCAAAGCTAATTAAATGCAAAAAATGATTTTAATAAGTATTTATTATTTTTATTTTTCTATTTAATAATAGTTGAAAAAACTTTAGAATTGTAGGGTACCAAAATTTTTACATCATTCGAAAGAATGCATTTTTGCAAAGTAAAATAGAAAATTTGAACGAAAACGGTCAAATAATTTTTGAAAAGTCAAATTTTAAAAATGCTTTTTTAAAATTTCATATACATATATCATTATTTGAAAGATTGTGCTTAAATTTTCCATCTTGTAGTTTAAAATCGCACTCTTTACAATGATTTAAAAATTGTAGACCTAACAATTTATAATTTTTTGTTCCGGTCCCTTTATTGATGCTGAAATGTTCCCCACTCTCTAAAAGGAAAAAATTAACTCTTCAAAGGCAGTTAGTCACTGGCTGTTTTTCCCTTAAGCACTTTTTTTTTTTTTTTTTTTTTTTTTTTTTTTTTTTTTTTNTTTTTTTTTTTTTTTTTTTTGGTATGGGATTTTCTCTCGAAGCTGATTTTTAAATTTTTAGACTTAGGATAGATAACTAAATACGTATTTTTGTATTCTCTTTTCTGTAAAAAAAAGATAAGTGCGTGTACTCTCTGTCTGACTAAAGAACTCTCTTCAGCAGTCATGTAGAGCCGTGACTATGGTTACGAGGTTAAACTATTTTTATCTGAGTTGTATGGTAAACATTTAGGACAGTCTTTGACTCGAATTGATGAACGAAGTAACGAAAACTTCCCTTGAATGAAATGCACTTTTTCTTGTTTTTATAACAGCAGAGAGTAGTGGGTGGAGTTCTTTGGTTCGACAGACAGTACAGCTGACTCGGGGGAAAAACATCAAACTAACCTTCCTTTTGCCTCTTGACTTTCAACTGCATATCATAAACCTTTTGGAGATCTTTTCCGAATTTTTTTCGTTTCATTTCTTCCTCTCGAAACCTTTCCCTTTCTTCCTCTTCCCTCTGCTCTATCGCCAACTCAGTGCGGAGTTCATCCCATTTCATCTTCTCCCGACATATTTGCTCCAAGAAGTCTAGAAGTTCCTCTTGTATCTGCAGTCGCTGCTCCAGCTCCAATTGTCTCTTCTCCTCCTGCCCTTTGGCTCTCAATTCCTGAGCCTTTCTGTATTCGTCCACTTTCAAGCTCTCTGACACCTCCCTTAGCTTCTCTCGGGATCTCAACTCCTCTCTCACCATTAGAAGTTCCGACATCTGGCGGCGGAGCTCATTTTGTTTCTGTTGAAAAATGCAACGAGAATTAATGTCTGTTTTGAATTTACATTACACTACATTTACAAGAAGACTGATAAGAGTTTTTTGACGTCACAAGCCTGAAAAAAAGCTCGTTATATTTACACCATTTCTGAAATTAAGAACTTCATCTTACAAGGATAGGCAAAAAATGACCATGTGTCGTAGGAGCCAATTTCGATTCCCGGCTTGACTCAGAGTTGTCCTGACTTGATAATGTGAGCCTGAAAACAGCCTATAAGAGTATCGGAAGTAAAAAAAAATTTTATTTCTTTTTATCACGAACTGGCTCCGAGTAAATGGGGAGTTCAGTAAACTCCTTACTCAAGCGTGGATTGACTGAAATTAAAATCACCAGGTAATTAGGGATAAGCAATTGAATTTAAAATGTGCAATAAATAAAAAAATGAGAAAGTAAAATGAAAACAATGAGGGGGCACATTCACGAGGGAGACATTTTCCTTTTACTAAAATTTGACTTCTGTTACCTCAATCTTTGCTCTCGCTTCCTTCAAGTCCTCTTCCTCTATTTGTCTTTTTATTTCATCAATGGCGGCTCTTTCCCTCTCGGCCTGGCCATCGTCAGATGATTCTTGCGTTCTTTTGAATCGAAGCTGTTCATCTAATTCTCTGTGGTATTTCTGTTTCGCTCTCATCTCTTGAAAATCCTTGTCTCTTTCTTCGGCCTCCAGAGCGGCTTTCTCTTTCGCTGATATTTCTGCCAAGTGCTTTTTCTGTTCGTCTTCAAGCTCTCGTAGAGCATTCTTTTCAGCCATTTGTAGTGCCTGCTCTCTGCAGACGTCTGCGGCTAAGATCATTTTGCGCAGATTCTGGAGTTCCGGCGCGTTCTTCCATAATAATTGACGAATCTTCTCTTCCCTCACTTTGTTTGATCTTTTTTCCCCTATCAATTAACAATATATATATATGAAAGGGTAGCAGTCATGGTGAGTGATGTTAGGCCACGCAGATAGCAGTTGGAAGGCAAAAAATATTTTATTAACTTCACTTAGTATATTTAAGACATTTTCTAGCAAAGGCGGAGCTCAAAATCGCACTCAAAAACTGTGTGCTTAAGTTTTTATCTTAGGGAAAGTAGCAAAGGAATTTCCCTCTATTTTGTTATATTTGAGGGGAAAAGGGAAGTGATAAGGATTACTATTGGTTTATGAAAGAAATCTAGCTTTTCCCACACAGAGCATAGGGAGATATGTCCTGCTCTTAATTAAATGCATAGTTGAGCCAAAAATAGATTTAAGAACAGGAT